AAGGGCATGAAATACAATAATTCGGTGCTGGCTCTAGTAGTAAGGGTGCTATATAGTGAAAAAAAATGATGAAAAAGCGAAGCTAAGCGGCCAATAAGCTGCAAAAAACCTTTGTTCTGCACGGCACTGGACGAGTATTTTTGGACGAGTTTCCCGTTTTCAGCGTTTCAATAACCGCTTTGATAGATACGGCTGCACGTATGCATTCATATATCCATGAAGCAACGTTTGATACATTTGCACCTTCCTCATCAGTGGAGCCATAAGTATCAGCGTCGATGTGACTGTCCACCCACTTATGTGCGGGGGCCTCTGGGTCGCCATGTTGCACCTTGTTTAGGTACTATAACAGTGTTCTTGTTGTAAAAGGCGCCACCGTAGCACCTTCCCAGAGCTAGCACCTTTAAAGCCACATTACCGCGATTCCCGGTCGTGGGTAATGGGGTTCCAGTGAACATTCGTATACGCTAGCTGACAGTAAAGAAATATGTGGATGAAACCACGTAATGCGCCTCATAGGTCCCCTGCCGTAAAAGAGAAACTATCTGCGCTTATGAGGGAGAAGAATCAGTTTTGAGGCGTCGAAAAGACAGACGAGGCGACAGCCATGGTCCCTCATGGAGGTGAATGCAATACCGTTCATATCTATGCAGGACAACAGCCCTATGCCAGTTCAGAGGGTGGTTCCAACTCCGTAGGTGGTGTCCCGTGAGCCAGTGACGATCGCAACACCCTCGCACAGTCATGTTGAGCCGCGAAAGAGGTACAACTTCTGGGATTGCTGGTCGAAATACTTGTATGAGGAAGGGAGTCTTCCTATTAGGTTATCGGGGAATGAGTTCCTGAAGAGAGAGCTTGCTTAAGTTCGTGTTTTTTTTCTGTAGCAGACTTGTTAAAGGCTTCAGACCTTTTTACTGAAACCGCATTTCTTGGGAAAGCTGACTCTAGACGTGTGAGACTATAGTACGGCTCTCAATGATAGCTTTGTTGCAGATTTTCACCCCAGCTGCCGTACCGATCTCAGCTACGCATGTGTACCTGTCTGGGTTATCGTTACCTGTCCTGAGGAGTCATTCGTTTCTTGGTAGGCCGCGTCTTGAACTTCTGCACATCAATGCATCCGGCATCCGCGGTATTCAGCCGAAAGCGTTCAACACGCTTCCAAAGCTCAAGGTTTGTTGCCAGGCTACTCAGAACGTTGCAGCAGCATAGACGGCCGCGACAAGTGGTCAACGAAAAAAAGTGGAGGGAATCTCAATTCCTTGACGATCTCCGCCCAATTCTTTTCCATGATCAACTGTCGCGGCCATAGATGCTGCTGCCATGTTCTTAGTACCGCCTAGCTTGTTCATGGCCGAGACCGTTTTTTATCCAAAATATTCTAGTTGCTTGATCTTTCGGACAACGCTATAGTCCGTCTATCTGGGGATGAATTCCACAAAAGTGCAGCCATTTCTCATCTGTTCCTCAATGGTAATCGTCTGCAAACGATAGAAAGGGGCCTTATAGACAAGCTTCCTGCTCTGACAACAGTGAGTTCGGATTCGATTCATGAGTTTTATTTACAAAAATTGAACCTTTATTATTTTGAGTGGTCCAGTGTATCGCTGATACATTCGAGAAAAGTTTACTGTTCCGGTTTTCGCTCAAAAAATGCCAGTGCTAGCCATTATTCGGGTGAAACTATGCAATGGCGCCAGGGCACGTCATGCGTTGGGAAGAAAAAAAAAAAACTTCGCCAAAATGCGACTAGATGGCTCTCAAATCTTACTTCCTCTGATAAGCCCCCCCCCCTGCTCCGCTCCCTCCCTCATCCGACCTATCATCTTCTGAAATATCAAATTTTCATTTCCAACTTTATACCACTTTTCCGGATTTTCTTCTCCCTCTGCAAAAACGAAAAAAGTCGTCAAGCGGGCGGGTCTCTGAGGGGAGCGATAAGCGCTCCTGATGAGCATGGCCATAAAAAGAAATCCAGAGGAACAGTCGCAACTAGAGATATTGCTCTGGAAGGCGATTACGGACCTTGCTCCCTTCTAGCGACCGAATACGACGTCCTCGCTGAAATTTCCAATGGACGATGTGCCGTGACCGGCACCGATCACGTGCATCGCGAGGTAGGACCGCACTCTTAATTGGACGTCCGGATATGTCTAGGAGAATAGGCACTGACGTCAATCGCCCCTTGAATAACTGGGAGCGCCAAATGTAGCCTTTGAAACTGGCACATTCATCCTACGACGTGCCGACTCCAGAAGAAACAGTTCAACTCTTGCTTTGGACGAACTGTACACGACTCGAGGACTTCTCCTGTGCGAGGCAAGTAGGTCCACAGCTGCAGTAGCGGGCCACTTTCTCCGCTCAAAAGTGCACGAGAACGAGGCTGGTGGATGGTGATTCCCGGAAGCCATCTCATCTGCCAGCGCTGCGCTAGCACGGGCAGGCACACGCCCGACCATAGCCAAACGCGCTTCTTTTCTGCATTCTGTCACTTCTATACCGCTGAACGAGGCTCGAGCGTAGTGGTAACCGGATGTCGTCTTCATTTTCCGCCTCTTACCTCAAGGTACAGCTTCGATGCCGAGGTCCCACAGTGAAGCACGCATTGGAGAAGACAGACCGCAGAAAAGTAGCGCGTTTAGGTAGGTCAGGCTTAGCCGTGCGGCAGCGCGAATGGAGTACGGAGATGGCCTCCGGGAATCATCACATTCCAGCCTTGTTCCCATGCACTTTTGACCGGAATTACTGCGGGTGGACATTCTCCTCACACGCGACAAGGACCAGGATCCACGGCTGTGGGTGTGCAGTTTGTCTTTGACCCCTTCTTTTACAGGCTTGCCTTTGTTTCAGTTTTGTAACTCAAAATTTTTCCACCAGGCCCTGATGTTCATTTATTGGTTCACTGTTTCAGATGACTCTGCACAATAATGATCTCAGCGACATGTCGCAGGCTTTGATGACATCTGGAGTGCGGTCTTTATCGCTATCAGGAAATGCGTTCCGCTGTGATTGTAGTCCGCGGTTCGCGGCTCCATCGTGGATGCATCAGAATCGAGCCAGAGTTGTAGACATGGATCGCGTGCGCTGCGTGGAAAATATCACTGAAGCATTTCGTAACAACGACACAACTGTGCTTTCCGCTTATCCACCAAATGTTGGGAACGACATTTTTACGATGACTATGGACGGTAAGGATTCTTATTTTTCGCTGGAATGTCGTCAAGAAAATGAATGTTGAAATTTCAGAATTCCTCCGCGATTTCAACCGTACCATCTGTGTACCGCTGTCATCAGGATTTTTTGGACAAGAACCACAAAATTCGATATTGACAGTGATTTTTCTTACATCATGTGCTTTTCTTCTTTGTGCCATGACATTTCTTGGCATTTCATTGGTCAGGAAAGCCCACAATGACATGAGTCAAAGAAGGTTGGTCAGGTTCTGGGCTGAATTTTTAGTGAGCTATCAATCAAGTAGAAATTTTTATCCACTGCGGTTTTCCAGATACAAAGCATCTTCGTCGCTTAACTGCTCATCAACACCAGGATCTTCTCCCCTGCCCATTCCATTGTTGAATTTCGATGCCTTTGTGAGCTATTCGAAGAAAGATGAGAAAATGGTCCTGGAACAGCTTTGTCGGTAAGCAATTCATTATATTGATGATCTGGGAGTTTTCAGAGAATTGAGTGCGTATTCACCTCTCTTGAGACAGAGGTAGTGTAGTGGCAGGTGGCACGCTTAACACGCATGTGATCCAGGGATCAATCCCTAAGATTGATTTTTTTGATTTGCTAAGCTCTAGTCCATGCCAACCAAGCCTTCTAGCGTTCGAGGATAGCGAATTGCCTCCAGATTTGCCTAGGAGGATGCGAACACTGACGTGTACATCGGCCGGCGTCCGATAGACATTGTGTAGGCCACATCGCAGTCAAGGAGCCGCTACGATCCTGGGCGCAGCTCGGCACGGAGGGAGGGGCATTTTGCCCTTTCGCTGCTTTACTAGTTCCGGTTTACAAGTCTCACTGTGGTAAAACCTGTGAAATCTTTGAAGCTAGAGCAGGCTCGCTGAGCCAGCATGGTAAAACCTGTCAAGTCTTGTAAGCTCATGAAATAGCTCTCCACGTGGCTTGACGCGTCGGTGGGAAGTAGCATAAAAGCAAAATGCCATTTCGGCGCCGAACTGCTC